AAATAAGTAAGGCCAAAAATGAATTACGTCTGAATATCTTTATTATTTTTTACCACTTTTAATTATTTGTGGGCTCGCACATATACCAAAATAGACTAATGTACACTGCAATAAAGATCAAATGTTACATGCAGGCAGCGGGACTCTGATTTTTGGTCCGAGTACACCCCAGCACCAACGTACAAACTGTCGATAAGCTGTATATCGATACTTCCTAATGAAAAAAAAGTATACAGATTATAAATATATTTGGAGAAAAATAAAATGTTATGTAGTACTATTATGTAGCAAATGGTTACAAATTGGCTTATAACATGATATTTGTATTTTACTTGTACAAAATAAATATGAGGTTGTACATGACTGCTTGACAGAATCAAAGACCTCTTATATATTTCCTCACATGTGTAGTTGTTTCATTTCCCAAGCATACATTGAACTTGCATACACAGAAAAAATAAAAGCCAAGCTGTTTTTGACTGCTTGAAAGAGTTTAATGGTATCTTTAAAAGTGTACCATATCTGTAGCGACTAAAAGTATTATATGAAAGCAAAGCTGCAATAGGCAGTTGGGTCAATCAATATTTACTTACTGGTGTAGTGGGCCATCAACTGCTCTGTGTTGTTGTTTGTATTGAAGATACGCTATTTTCAGTGTCCAAACACTGAGACAGCCTTCTCTAAAGCCTGGGTGGCTAATAATGCACCTTGGTTTCTCGTCGGTGTCTTCTATCTGGCAGAGTCCTGCACGGGTCTGATTTTCAAGACCCGCTCCCGCCCCGCCACACACAACCCTCACACACAGACCACACACACACCCACCCACACACCACACACACACACACTTACATCACGCTGACACTACACACACCAGACACACGACACACACACACCCTACACCACACACACACGCGACACTACACCACCCACACACGCGCACACCCACCACACGCAACACCACTCCCCAAAAATAGCCTTTCTATACGAGAACTATCTGCCAAACAGTTGTTTTCTTCGTGGGGAGTGAGAGAAATAGTTTTGTTCGGTTCTGGTTGGCGAAGAGTCTCCTTTAGATGATTTGGGTGAAAAGACTCGAAATGAGCTTCATCTTCTGTTGTGGTCGCCTTGTGAGTGGGGTGGGGTAGTGGAGACAAGGTTTGGAAATTAGTAGTTTAGTAGTTGTTTGTGGTGTGGTGTGTGTGTGTGTGTGTGTGGTGTTGGGTGTGGTGTTGTGTGTGTGTGTGTTTGTGTGGTGTGGTGTGGTTGGTATGGTTGGTTGGGGTTTGTGTGTTTGTGTGTGTGTGGTGGTGTGGTGTGTGTGTGGTGTGGTGTGTGTTGTGGTGTGTTGTGTGTGTGTTGGTGTGGGTGGTGTGTGGTGTTGGTTGTCGTGTTTATGTGCGTCTACATCCAACCCTTAGGTTTCCCTTTTGTGTGCCGTACTCCTGGAATGTTTTGTTACAGGGAATTCCTAGACCGTGTAACGTCCTCCTTGAAAGAGAGGGCCGAGGGTTATAACTATAATTCAGGAAACATAAATAGACCTCTCGGAATGCGCCGCCTTGCCCTGAAACGCTCTTCTTCATGTTTGTCATGGAAGTTTGACAGCAACGATTGAAGAAGTATAATTCTGGAAAGAATTAAAAACCCCATTATAGATGCTGGAAAATTCGTGAATGTAAGTCTAATAGTCTACGTTCTAGAAAATTTGGTCGCCCTTACTCATCTGATTTATGCTTGTATATACAAGTCTGTGTCTGCAAACTAAGTGCTCTCGGTGTGTCTTATAATCCTTGTTCCGTAGTAAATCCGTTTGTAATCGAAACTATCTACGACAGTTATGAGTTGATGTATTATACACGTCAACACACACACCATTACAGACACTCACACGTGCGATAGCACACAGACAGATCGAACACACACTCACACACAAAACTATCCCCCTTAGTAAGCGATGGGCCGAATGCAGACTATCGTAATTTTTGTTCCTGTCGATGTTTGCAAACGTAGGACGATCAGTTGTTGTAGTGTGAGAACATGTAATATCTAAATAAGAGTGGAATAACGACTCTAGTAGACTAATTTCCGGTACATTACGTAGATTGTGTCACAAAAAAATTGTACATCAAATCTATTATAGTGGATCTTATTTTTTATTTATTTTACAAATTTCAAACCAGTATTAATATACCGTATATGCAATTTTTGGCCTACAACCAAGGCTTCAAACGGCTCATGCGGCGGGCTAGTGGAGGGCTTGCTCGCCCACTGCAGTGTGCACCGTTTATTAACGGTAAACTAGTTTAGATCAGGTTCTACCGTTCGTTGCGCGGTTGAAGTGTGTCGCTGTCGCTGTCGCATAGTAAGTTCGAGTCTAAGCCACCCAATAGACCTAAGCCAATGTCTCATCCTCTGCACCTTGGTCGATCGGAAAGTGAAGTTCCGTAGAGACGGAATAGTCATGCTCCGGAGGACGGGCCGTTAGCTGTTGCTCCGTCCTTTGAACTTTCTCTTCGCCTAAGGCGTCGGCCGTTCTGAGCTCAGCCCGTTATGACTGACTTACCATTTAAGACAAAATAAATTAAACTGGACGGTGATTTACAGCTAGAATTAAAACAGTAGACAAGGAGGTGTGCAGGCCGTCTATAACAAAAAAAAGATTACAATACATGGTTATAAGTCCACATGTACAGTTACGACACCTTTCCGTACGGGTGACGTCTACTTAACCACATACGACGTCCTCTCTTAGACCGTCCACTACCTTGTGTTAGCTGTCAAACGTAGTGGATGAGCCTGGTGCTATCGTCTCAAGAACGTAGGGACGAGCCATAGGCGCCGGCCCATAGCTGCCTACACTGGGCGGTTTTTCCACTAAACGCCCCACCATAAAAAAGTTTGCGAAAAAAGGCAACGAAGCGGAGACCCATTTGTTTCTACTACCGCCAGCCCAACGCACGCACAGCCACAACGTATTATTTATATAAATTTGTAGTAATTATTAAATCAAATTACAAATTTAGGAGTCTGGAGAGGAGGCGCCCTGGCTCGTAATTAGTATTGGAGACCGTCACGTAGATAGACGGACGACTCGCGGTGGTGTAAGACTTACCGACTCCACCTTCGAGGAGATCGCCTCCTTATGTCGGTAAAAGTTATTGAGAAGGAGTCTCGCTTTAGTTGCAGACCCTCCCGAAAACCCACAGTAAGGATCTACCTCTTTTATTGGTTGGTAGGGTCCGAAAAACTCCGGTTTATACCGTTGACGCACACAATTAATTAACGTGCAAAAGGTGACGAATATATATATACGCCAAGCCCAGCCCAAACGCCTAGAACACGGCCGCCCAGCCCAGCCCAACGCCTTGATTAACCGGTTATACACGCCCATCGCCCCGCCCAAGCCATAACGTGCNTGTTGTTATATTTACATGTTTCTTTGGAAAAATAATATTGTAAATGATGTCAGCTGAACTGGTTAAAATGGTTTCGCATGATGTAAATAATTTACAAAGTACATCATTTACAATATTATTTTTCCAAAGAAACATGTAAATATAACAACATTTTCCAAATCACAAGTTTGTAAGATTGTATTAATTTACTGTTTGATAAATAAAAAAGGGTTCTTTTGTTAATTTTTCACTTGTAACATTTGATCTTGCAGTGTACATTAGTCTATTTTGGTATATGTGCGAGCCCACAAATAATTAAAAGTGGTAAAAATAATAAAGATATTCAGACGTAATTCATTTTTGGCCTTACTTATTTCACTTCAACTTTTATATATTACAGTCACTAGGCAAGTTCACTGTACTCTGGTGACATTTAGCTCAAGCTGGCATAACACCTGTAGTAACTTAATTCTGACCCGAGTTTTGTGCACAATCTTCCAGCACCCATGATCAATGTTTATAGCAATCAGGAAACATTCACAGCTCACAACTACACATCGCTTCCCCATCATGAATTGTTAGATAAAAAAAGTTTAGCGAGGTCCGGTTACACATATGTTGAGCGAAAATAGCGGAAGGATACAAAACAAACAATCCAGACGAGGCTGGTGTTTGCCACGTGTGACGTCACACAGCTGGGTTAATGGCTGGCAAGCTTTTCGCTACCGGAGCGGAATAACACGGGAAAGTGGCACACATTTCATGTTATTTGGGGGGTATTTATGGAAAGAATCATTGATGTTGACATGTCAAATGAAACAGTGGAAAGTGATGAAGCGATTTATTAATACAGAATAACGTTTATTTTGGACATTTCATGGACTTTAAGTAACATTGTCCGGGTTCCTGGGAGTGTGTGACTGAACATATTTAAAAAAAGTTGCATTTTCCTCAGCCATTCTTAAAAAATAACAAGCCAAAAAAACATACTGTGCTCCCCAGATCCCAATAATGTGGAGTAGAATTAAGGAAATGAAGCGTTGCCTCACTTTTAACAG